GCCCCACCTCCTGGTACCACAGAGCTTGACATACGTTAAACTGGTTTTCTGTTTCTAACAGACCTCAGGCTGGCCAGTGCCATATCCAAACAGGGTGGACTCCAGGACTGATCATGCAAAGCAGGGGCTGCACAGAACGGCAGTCACCTAGTGTACATTATACATGCGGGGTTAATATAACAGATTAGTTAGATGACCTTCTAAAAGTTCAGGGGGTACATATAGCCATGCTACCATCAACAGGGACTGCACGCCCTACGGCTCACCTAAACCATTCATCATAGGCCATCGCTTTTACAAGTTGCTCTGTCAGGTACAGACAAATCTGCTACCAGGTGATGAAATTTCTGTGCCAGCTTTAGACGCAGTGCTGAAACAAGTTGCCACACACACCCTCTTCATGGGCATCACAGGCTGCCACCACAGATCACTCACCACTTTGTTACCTTTACTGCCCAAACATGACTGGTCTGGACTGGGGTGAGGCTGTTCAGAGTTACAAAGGAAAGACGCCGTACACACCCGGTATTACACCAGGTCTGTGCTTCCAGGAAGAATTTGTACAAGAAAAGAATGACCCTGAAGCCTAAAGGAAACCCCTTATTTCAGGAAAATGAAGCACATTTTAGGTACAAGTCAAAAGCAACTACTATGACCCTCGGAGAGCACCCACGCTCTCCGTGGAGGAAAGGGGAGGAAAAAGACAGGCTGGTGAACCCAAAGGCAGATCTAGGTAAAGGCAATTTTCAGAAGGAGGAGGTATGCATGGCTGTAACAGTTTGAAAGGGAAATAAATATAATTTTAAAGGGAGGGGAAAGAGTAGGATGAATCTCTGAGGAGGTCAGATCATCAAGAAGGTGGAGCACCAGAGAGATACAAAAGACCATCAAAGGCAGCAGTGAGGAATACCTGGTCTGGAGGGCAACGGGATAGCAGAGGGGGATTTACAGCACAAAGATCCCTGCACAGAGATTCATTAAAACTCCAGCAAGCATGGCTACAGCGCAAAGTATCCATGAAGGATTCTGCAAAGCAGTCCTGTTGCTGCTGCTGCCTGTCTGAATGCCTCAGATGGCCACGCTGGGGTGGCCTGTGAGCACGCAGAGGGGTGCAGCTGCCTGTGATGTGAACACCACTCGCAGAGTTACTCACTAGTAACTGCAGTTCCCTGAGCAGTCTTGGACACGCGCCCTTCACCTCTCAGTCCCGCACCGTATTGAGTTGCTGCAGCTGAGAGGAACATAGGGTGTGCCCTTCCCTCCCCATCTATGCACAGGCCACATGGGAACACGAGGCACGGGAACACCCGCGGGGGCCGCCAAGAGAGCCCGGGCACGGGGGTCACAGGCCTGGAGTCTGTGTGCACCCACAGAGCGAATGGGCAAAAAGACAAACACTCGAAGCAGAAAACAACTGAGCTATCACTTGTCACATCACTAAAAATCACTAAGGTGATGCACAAGGCTTAAAAATTCACAGATTTCTCTTTTAATAATTTTCTGACTTTTTTAACTAATCGAGCCCCCCAGCTTCTTCCCCATTCCCGTGCCGCTAAAGCTTAGACAAGAAATTTCAGAAAATAGATGCTGGCCATACAAAAGCCCACAGAACTGGAAAACAACCCAAACCACCCCATATAACTTGGGGAGGGGGAAGGGTACCTAGTGGGATGCTTGCTGGCTTCCCCCACGCTCAGGTGCTGATTGCCATCTTTTTTCTGTGCCGTCTGTTCAGGCTGTAAGGTTTTTGCAGAGAGGGCATCTGCTTGCACATTTGTGCATGCCCTGATCCCAAGCAGGTCCCGGGCGAGCCACAGATGAGGGAACGAAAAACCAGACCAGTGCTCCGAAAGGAGAAGATGGCTGCTCAGATCCAGTACAGCAGGGCAGAGAGTTGCAGTGGCATCAGGATTTCATTTTGGAGAACTGGATCCCTCTAGTGAAGCACTCGGTGCAGCCTCAGCACAAAAGGATGAGAGCTACTAGCATTGCTATTCTACAGCCCTGGAGTTTGCACACAGATCTTAAGAACAAATACGAAAGCTTTGCTTCCAGGCAGGAAATCCCTTTTACCACACCTTTCTGATTTACACCGATGCTTGATACACACCACATGTGTCCCCTCCTTCCCTCACCCGCATTCGCAATGGTTCTGTTCCATATTTAAGTGATGAAAAGTTAAGACCTGTGGTTACAACCTCTATGAGAAGCTTCATTTTGAAGGGCTGCTACATTTCAACTTTATTGCCACGAGGAAAACTGAAAAAAACAAAAGCTTTCAGTCCTTCCCTAACATGAAAGCTGTTGTGAAGACATTTAATAAGTGTAAGTTCTCTCCTGCAAGTTGTTGAAATATTGAAAGCAGGAAAATTTATTCCTACAAATGTTTTGTATGAGTCTCATCTACAATTTTATGCACTACACTTAATTTCTTCTGTTCAAGGTGGCTGCAGCAGGTTTGGTCAGCATTTTCTCCTGAAGCGCATCTCAGTAGGCAGAGCTTACAACAAACCCTTCGCCTGAGATTTGTTACGAGGAGAAGAAAAGCAAGGAATAACATCGGGATTGCTCTGGCTAGAAGACTAAGCGAAAGATGGAGCATGCAAACTCACCCACCTGCCTGCGTGTGAGAATAGAGGGACATTCATCTTGATGAGATCAGATGTTACGTGGGGGAACAGCGGGAGCGAGAGCCATCAGAAAACTGGCAAATGCGTCTGCTTTTTCCATTCAGCACTGTGCTGCTGACTAGATCTCTGCAAAACCTTCTCTGTTCCACAGATCTACCCACTGGGGTCTGTCTGGCATTAATTGGCCTTCAAAATTACTCATGGAAATATCTTCAGCTAATTTTTATAAGCCATTGAGTAAGAAAAGAAAAAGTTTTTTTTTTTAAAAAAAAAAACAAGCAAGAGCGAAAAATCAATAAATTCTTGCATGCGGACACGGTATTCTGCTTCCTAAAATAAATGCCTTAGGACGGAGACTTGGCCCTGACTTTTCTACGAAGTTTCTTTGTGAGAATTAAAGGCCGCAAAAGGTGAAAGCCGCCTGTGTAGCGGAGGACCGCTGGGGAGGAGAGCGGAGTCGCGGAGAAGAGGGGA